TCCTCTAGGAAAAAATTCTTGTGGTTGACTGAGCAACCACTCTCATATGGTACCTCTTCATCATAACAGAACTTCTTTCCTCCCATCACCTCTTTGAGTGGCCCAAACATGTGGTAATCACTTGGGGCTAGTTCTGTTGAGTATGACGGATGTGGAAGACACTCAAAGTGCAAGTCCTGGATTGTTGCAAATGTCGCCCGGGCAGTATGGGGCCGAGCATTGTCATACTGCAAAAGGACACCTCTAGTCAATAGTCCACGTCGCTTTGATCTGACTGCAGGTTGAAGATGATTCTTCAAGAGATCTAAATATGAGGCACTGGTGTTAGTGTTTCCCCAAGGCGTGTAGTGCTCCAAGAGTAAGCTTCGTTCGTCCCAAAAGAGAATCAGCATAATCTTCCCTGCAGATGGCTGAGTCCGGAACTTCTTGGGTTTTGGTGATGAGGAATGATGCCATTCCTTGCTCGTTCTCTGTTTCTGGATGGTGGTAGTGCACCCAAGTTTCATCACCAGTAACGATTCCAGAAAAGGAAGCCATCACCTTCTGCTTCAAGACACTGCAGAAGTTCTTCACAGGCGTCAACACATAGTTGTTTCAATTCTGGAGTCAGCTGCCGTTGCACCCATCTTGCTGACACTTTGTGAAACTGGAGCATGTCATGAATGACATGATGTGCTGATCCATGACTCATGTTAAGAATTTCGGCTATTTCATCCACCAACACTTGGCGATACTCCATCACCAGGGCTTCAACTGCTGCAATAGACTCAGGGGTCACAACTCTGTGTGCCTGACCAGGGCGAGGAGCGTTTGCCACAGATGTCACACCACTTTTAAATTTCCTACTCCACCCGTACACTTGCTGCTGTGACAAGCATGCATCACCATACTGAACCTTCATCCGTCGATGAACTTCAATCGGTTTCACACCTTCACTGATCAAAAAATGAATTACAGAACGTTGTTGTTCTTTCATGCATGTACATAGTGGAGAAGGCATCTTCAAACTGGCACTGTGATGGCATTCTGTTTGTCTGCATGATACTGCCACCTATAGCATTGGTAACATGTTTGCCAACTGTTGTGGGAATCTGCAAGCAGATCACCATTCTCAGCCTTCGCTAAGTTACTTCCAGGTTGGTAACCCTTCTTAAAGTCATTTATTCCTCTCTATGTTCTTGTTCTTACCTTTTGTTGCAAGCTCATCGATTCTGTCTGTTACATATTCCCTCTTTTTATTCTTGAAATGCCTGCTGGTTTTGCATTTTATGTTATTCAGACTGTCCCCATTTACTTCGCTTGGATCCTGTAACCACTGCAATTTGGCTTGTTTCCTTTGGTCTCTTAATTTTGAGAATCTTTCATCAAACCATGGCTTATGCTTCTTCAGTTCATAATAACCTTGACTCTCTTTGGCAGAAATTTTGATGTTCCCTTTAATAGTTTAATAGCTTTATTAATATCCACCTCAGTGTCTAAGTTTTCTACAGCTGGGAACCTATTTGAGATTTCAAGAAGGTACTGCTCTTAACCTCTACCTCATTTAATTTCTTGAAATTTAACCTCTCCATATGAACTCTATGCGTTGTTTGTTTCTCACCGCAAGTCTGTCCCTAACCATTGCCACCACCAGGTAGTGGTATCTCAATCTGCTGTCATGAATGATCAGACATCAAGTATAGTTGAATGACACTTCCTGTCTATCAAAATATGGTAAATTTGGTTGTGCATCTTCCCATCATAAGATGTCAAAGTAAATTTATAAATGTTATGAGGTGGGAACATCATAATTTTGATAATAAGATTTTTGGATGTGACAAAGTTTACTACTCTAACACCATTATCATTACTAATTTTGTGTAAACTCCCATTCCCAATTGTTGGTTTGAAAATGTCTTCCCTACCCACTTTGGCATTGAAAACTCCTAACATAATTTTCATATGATATTTTGGGAGTTTATTAAGTACATGTTCTAGTTCTTCACAGAACCTGTCCTTAGCCTTTAAGAGCCGAGCGACGCCATATGGCATCATGAAAATAAAGTCAAGGGGACGAATGACGCCATATGTCATCGCGCAGTCAACGCGTGCTAATTTTAAGTTATAAATTCTTTTTCTACTTAAATGATTTTTGGTCACCAGCTTTATAAGTTGTCTCTATTCCCACCTGTGTCATCTAACGGACTGTTGGCTTCATGTGGAAATCTTGGAAACATCCGGAAATCCAGTGTCCAATGTCGCACTTCACGCACTTTGTCCAGACGGTTCTTCGTTTCCCACGCGAAAAACACACACGACACCTCAATTGCGAAGTAGAGGAAGTTGGCCAGTGATGTGGTTTGCCCTCCTATAATCGAGATATCTCCGATAAAACGGCAGGGGTTCGACCCCTGGGCCGTTGATGGCGAGGTGGACCCCTTCCAGCATGTTCCGCACGAGAGCGAGACGAAATTCTCTTTGTGACAACTGGATGTAACTGTTCAGATCCAGGAGACGGAAAAATAGTTTATTTGTCCATTTCCAGGTTCGATGACAGATGCTATAACTGCTTGCCACAGCTTGCCCACAGCTCCACCTGAATAATTTTCTCTTGCCATGCTGGTGTGGTGGTCCCCAGGTTGCTGACCAAGATGATGGTTCTTCATCGACTTCAATTTCTGATTCACTTTCTTCCTCGCAACTCTCAGAGTCATCGGTACAACAGTCTGAATCGGTGTCATTTATAAGCTGATTCTCAATTTCAGCGTCTTCCAAATACGAGACCATGGTGGACAGCTAAACACAACGCTAGCCTTGAACGTTCTGACACTGCTCGGCTATATTTCAAAACAGACTACTTCTTGTTTGGCAATATGAGATAAAACAGTCAGTGTTTCTGCGAAGGAGTAGACATCGCCCACACACTCATACCGAAAGGAACCTACGAGCTGGAGAATGATGAACAAAGCGTAAACATGCGACCTTGTAGCAACACAAGCCATAGTTAGAGCATGATGTCACCAGCAGGCATTCAGACTGCAGAAATGTTTTGTGCAGGAACTGTATGCATTTTTGTGCACAGACGTTCAAAATTGAGGGGGAAATTTTTTTTGGCATCAGCGTAATAATTTTTTAGAGATTTTAAAATCGGTAAATTACAATGACTGATTCTATATTCTTTCTAGATAAAAGCAGCGTATATTTCGTTCGTTTATCACAAAAATTGTAGAAATCACAGCATTTTGAGTAACATGATTACAATTTTTATTACTCTACAGTGGCGGGCATTTAAATTAACTCCGTCCCGCTACCACTACCAGAATTTAAATGGCCATCTCTTAAAGGTTAATATCTTCCATTTTGTCCTCTGTTGGGGCATGAACATTCAGAAAGATATCACACCAGAGACCTCTTACTATTACGTATGACATCCTATCACTAACAAACTCTACCCTATTACCTGCTGATATGATTCTCTTATGTACGAAAAAACCTGTACCTAATTCACGATTCTCATTCCCCCTACCATAGAAAAATGTATATCTGCCTGTTGGTTCAGTGCCACCTCCATCCCATCTGACCTCCTTTCTTTTCACTAAATCTAACTTATACTTCGAGATTACTCCCGCCACTGCCTGGAGCGAACCTGCCCTATTCATATTTCTAACATTCCAAGCACCAAATCTCATATCCATTTCTTTTTGCTTAAATTGTTTATCCAAGTCCAAGGCTTTTTGTGATTATATTTTATAGTGAGTTGTTAGCACCATGCCAAACCACCCAAGCTGGAGGACCACCCCTTGTCGGCTGTCCATGACTGCTTATTCAATATATTTGCAACTACCCTCCATATCTGGAGGCTGTCTCCTCCATCCACAACCTGAGAATGTTCCATGCCATGGACAAGGGACGCACATAACATGGCTAATCTCAGTCTAACATATAAAATTAGTCATTATTACTGGGGTTTAGACTTTGTTCATTCTGGAAACTGGATGTTTCCATCCTCAGGTGAGTGGGAGATACCCACAAATCCAGTTTCCGAAACATTGTGTTCTCTAGACTTCAGAATAATGGACAACAGACAAAGTCCAAAAACCCAATAATTCTGAGTCTTATATACCACTGTCAAAGCCCTTTAGAACCTTCATATAAAATCATACCCTGCAATTCAATGTTCATGTACTTTATGCACCACAGCTTTCAGAAGATTTTAGTAGGAAATGCATGTAAATTATGCTCAAAATTTGGAGAATGGAAATCAAAATTTAACAGAATTTAGTGCAGATCTACCACACCAACATATAACAAAATTGGTTAACTAATTTTGGTTGTCATATGTACAGATATAAAAAAAAGGTAAGTAAAGGTATTCCTGTAACAGGCCGTGGAGGCCCGTAGGGTTGTAAGATGTTGAGGTTCACACATTTTGTAGACAATCGGCTCATAGATGGCAGCAAGGTTGTCAGCCCTTCGCACCGGCCGCCCTTTACCCCCCAAGAATATTCCTGGTACTCACTTCTGTTAGGGGCTAAGTCGACGCCAGGGCCATAGTGCGGGTGGAAGAATTAGGCCAAGTGAAAAAAAAATCCAATGACCTCATCGGGACTTGAACCCGCAACCTTCCAGCTTGTAGCATAGTGCCTCAACCAACTACGCTAACGTATAGATATATAGAAGGAAAAATAAGGCATTTTCTCAAGACACGCCTACGAAAGCTTTACTATTGTATGATAAAAGGGAATATGGGATAGAAGAGCATTTGTATGCATCAGACAAATAAGTGGATAAAGCAAAACTCAACTTCTTAACCCAGAAAACCTGGTGATAGTTTTCTGGCAATTGAATAAACAATACAAGGAAGAAGTCAGAAGACAGAAATTCTGAATTATGATACAGAGTAATATTAGAAGCTTCAATGTACAAACTGACACACAGAAACAGAAATATTTAAACAGTTTCAACTACAATATTCACTGTAAACAAATACTACTCTCAGCCATATAAGCAGTGATGCTCACCTGTCTATTATGCATGCCTATGTACAGGGATGGTGTCAGTGGACCCATCTGTTCATTGTAGGTGGGTGTCCACTGTGCACCACTGAACAGGTCAACTGGGTACATCTGCTCTTGAAAAAGGTACCATGCTGCCACAACTGGTGCATCAAACTGGAACAGACATTTAAAATAGTGAACATTCATCATTTATGCACATTCAGTCGTCTTAATGTATCTTTATTTAGATGTTTCAGCCATGCACGGCCATCTTCAGGCAACTAAGTAACTCATCAAATTGTTACATTGTATTTTCAATGTAATTAAGACAATCTATTTCTTAAGTTGAAATATTTAAATTTTTTCCATTTTCCATTATGCAATCATTAAATTACATTTGTTGGAGAACATCACTTGTTACATTTTCATGCGCTGCCTAACTTCTGTGGTGTCAGAGTTTTCTGTAATGTGTAATGTATTAATAATTTATGTTATTAACTTTACGCTACTGTTAGGGGACACACGGTAGTGTAGTTGGTTGAGGCACTACACTACAAGCTGGAAGGTCATTGGTTTGATTCCTGATGAGGTTAATGGATTTTTCAATCAACCTAAACCTTCCAGGCATACAATGGACTGGGGTCAACTCAGCCTCTGACAGAAATGAGTACCAGGAATCTTGTAAAAGGCGGCCAGCACATAAGGCTAACAACCTCAATGCCATCTGTGAACCGTCTAGAAAGCGTAGGAGCCTCAACATCTCACATCCCTATGGTCGTCCACAGCCTGTTACAGGAATTCCAAGAAGCGTAACTGCATGAATTCAGTAATATCATAACACAGATTGTCCAACAATAATACCTCAAAAGAACCTAAAACTGCAAGAACTAATATTTTGTCGCAAGAGATTTTCAATTTCACCTAGATATTACATCTTCACTTCTTAGAACCAGAAATGTAAAACAAATTTTTGTTCACCCAGATTTTATTTTCACGTTTTAGTATATATGGCAGATTATACAAATTCTATTACCTTGTGTTTCCATATAATTTGACCTGCTGACTTGCTGACAGAGCAGACAAGTCCTTCTGGTACAATGACTTTCAGCTCAAAGTCATCAGACAGCTGGGATGGGGTTGCATCTTTCTGATGACAGTTGTTAACAGTGTCAGAAACAAAACTCAGTTCATGCTGACCAACACTAAAATTCCACCTAAAAATAATCGAATGTCAGGACTTAATTATACATTTCTAAGAATTGTATGAAAATACTTCTCTCAAGGACAGCAATTTGTAATCCCGATTGGGTTTAATTTCCATATTCGTATGCAATGTACTTGAAAACAGCCTAGAATCATGCAACAAGGAGTTCTAGGCAGAATTTAGTATGACTATTTAATTTAACTGCTCCATGGACTCATATTTCCTTCAACTGGATTATCCTTCTTGAATTTCAAGACATAAATTGTCCCACCATTGAGTAGCTGGATGAAGGAGCTGCTTCCATAAGAGTCCTCAGACTGGTTCATCATTCAATCCCAATATTAAAGGACTGACCCTTTCATTTAATTAATATGACAGCTGAGTTACAACTTAGAGCAACTTAGAGCTGAACTTAGAGCAATCATATTAATAACCAGCTTTGGTATGTACTTTCATATGTCTAGACACATGCAGTAATTTACTATCAAACTGAAAAGTAAATACATTGTAACACTTATTGATATTTTAAGCAGTTACTGTCCCATCTGTAACCACTTATACAATTAAGGTCAGTCTCCGTCCACTTATTACTTCACAGTAATGCTACTTCACAGTAATGCTACTGGTCCCCTCACCTACTACACTGAACTGTCTGCACTGCATTACACTCAAAACTTCATTTCTGCCGTGCATTGCACTCAACAGTTTGTCTGCTGCGCTCGTGTAGACTAAACTGAAAACAGACATGCTAATCCAGCTTAGTCACCAACTGACACATTAACAGGTTGCACTAATTTACAACTCATGGCACTCACTGGTTCATGTAAGCTGGTGTACTATACCGAACACATATCTGTGTAGACACAACTGAACTCAATCGAAACTGACCTCTCATGGGGCTTTGCACCTACTGTTATATGCACATTACACATTGAGAAATGCCTCTTACGCATGTGAGTGACCAAAGACTTCAGCAGTCTTTTTAACAGTCTAGAAGTGGGGGAGTCTCAATGTTCTGACTGAATGAGAGGCACATGCTAACCCTCAAGCTCAGCTTATACAATATATTTACATATCTTTTATCAGCGCCTACATTCTTATTTTCCCATCTCGGAGCACTACAAAAATACAGGGCAGTATTTAAGAAGTTGTTAATTTCTTTATTTTGGATGTTTGTCTAGTGCCTCTGCCTTCCAGTAATGATTGAATAATAAATACACTAACCTTTCAGTACCAGTGCGGGCTTCAATTGCTCTCACAGTCTGTGTGTGTCTTTGAATAACAATAATGTCGTCAGGTGTCAAGTTTTCTGTGGTGTTGGTACAGCCATCCATAGAACATTCATACACAAATTTACCAGTTTTGACAGCAACACCGTAAGTTCTAGTCTCTTTCCCTCCTGCAATATAATAAACCACAAGATCAAATATGTTTTCTTGCTGTGTACACATGAACATGCAACCTTCTGAAAGAGTTCAACAATTTCTGTAAAATTTTGTAATACAGACACAACAGAATTATAGTTTCTTTCTAGAGTTGCTAGGTATGGCACATATTCACCTGACAGCAACCACAAAAATAAATCATTTAGGAGAAATGGTAGGATGACATTAAAATTGAACTTCCTATGCCAGCAACAGACGATTTAAACCATATTTAATAATCTGAGGATAAATGTGACAGGGCTTTAAATTCACATACAAAAAAGAACAATTGTTACTTTCACACAATTTTAATACAACTTCATTCACATGTAAGTCTTACAACATCTGCACTCTATGTGGCCGAAATTTACACTATCTTAGTAATTCAGTTTGCTGTAGTAGTCCTCAAAGCTCTCAAAACAGAGTCAATTCCCACTAATACAGACCAATGAAAATCTTGGTTTGAATATATGAACATCCTTCCACATGATTTCGTGATTACTTATCCAAAATGGTTATGTTCAGTTACTGTATCTCCCAAAATTCATTACATTAAAACAGTTCAAGAATTTCCAGAATGTCATTTGTGTTCTTTGTCGCATTTTGCAGCCTAATTACCAAGTACAAACTTCCCACTCTCCTCTACAATCTGACATACCTTCCCCATCATAGTCTCTGTCATTAAATAACACCAATTTTAACATCTTCACCATTACCATTACCTTAATTCTCTAATGTGCCAATTAGCATAAAGCCACTGTTAGCAGCCATTACCTGGCAACTAGTGAAAAAACAGAAGAATTTGTGTGTGCTGTAATTGTAGCCATCTCTACAGTCTGCGAATTTATGAGAACATTATAATTACTTGTAATTATGATTTGTAAGTGTTCAGTATATCCAATGATCAATCCAAACCCCATGCCTTGTCACCAACACACGACAACATAGTCTATTTATTAGTCTCTCAAGATTGCATCATATTCAAGAAGTGAAAAAAATGTTATTCTTTCTTGGAGTAAATAAACAAAAATTAACAGTCCAGCCACATTACAGCAAAATAATCACTGTCAAGCTGTTACAAGAATCCTGCAGCTCAGCTGTATGCATCAACCAAATATGAATATGATAATTCTGATATATACAGCCTAGGTTCTATTCAGCTGCAAATGTTTAAGCAAATTAGGGGTATCAAACAGTAGAGTACTAGGGCACCTGGTGAGAAGAAATTCAACTTTTGACACCAAAACGACTGCAGGATGTTTAACTTTGCATACTGTGATTAGTGATCATGAAAAATGGAACATAAAATGGAGATGTTTATGTTTCCATGCATACTAAATATTTATGGAGTATATAAGAAATTAGCCATACAAAGGATCCACAAAACTATCAATCGATGTGATGTATTGCGTGCTTTGGATCACACTGAGGAATTATAAAATAGGGCATGAGGATATCTACTAGATTCAACTGCCACAGAACAGAATTCAATGGTACTGTCTGATGTGAATACAATTAATTTTCAGGTTCCATAAAAGTCATAAACTTCTTGATCACCTCAGCACATGTCAACTTTTCAAGGAAGAAGTTAGTTCAGTTCTTTAGTTTGGCTCTTAAAAATTTAATCACTAAAGCCATTTCAATTATGTGTTCTACAACTGTCTGATCAAGCAAAGTAACATGGTTCCTCTGACCTGAGATAGCCAGATCACTGGAGAATGAAAATGGAGCAGATTTAAGCAACAGGTCAGCTGTAACAGGAATAGGCTCAATACTGCTGCCATCAAACTTGTATATGCCTCCACTAAGCGAAGGGATCATCCTCACAAACTGCCCATTATTAGTCAGCTGAAAAAGAAAATGAGGTAAATTTTCTATTTACACTAGTAGGGGTTTTAAGTGTCAATAAATGATATGTTTGATCTCCATGCAACATCGTTTCTGAATGTGAATATGTTAGGTTTATTTTCAAAAGTTTGGGAAACAGCTTATGAGAGGGTCACCAAACTTCAAATCACTGAAAGGCCATATTACACCTTATGTACCCATTCACACGCAACATTACAAGAGTACATTTTTTACAATACACAATTATACATCCTGCAATGAACAGATTTATGAAACACAAACAGACACATAAGAACTTGACCCATGAAGTTCAAAATCATTTACTGAAATTAAATGCTTCCAGGTCGATGATGCTAAAAAATTTAGCCCCTGAACATCTGTTAGGTTACATCAATATTAAACATTATTTTAAAGCTACGCTAATTCCATGCTCCAACACAGTACTTAAGTGTCAACTGTAATGTGAAATCAACTGAAAACTTACATGAAACATTTAACAAACACTTTATGTAATGGTTCTGTGGCAAGATTTTCCACCTATTGGCAAGTAAAACGAAGATATCTGCATCCAATTCCTATGCCATATCCAACACACATGCCCTGAATACTGAACTCCACATGAAGAACAACAACAAATCAATTATGTATGAGTAACTGGAATCACCTTTTTAAACAGATTTCATGTATTTCTTCTGTCCAAGCCTGGCTCTTCATACATAACCTGTCCTTCTGCTAGATGTTCATCAGCTACAAATATTACTATTTTAAATGTATCTGTTCCACATGTTTAGACTGTAGTTCAGTATTTAAATTATGTAATTTGTTCATTACTATTTGTCACTTCTTGCGCTGTTTCTGTAATTGCCCTTATATGTGTTGAGCCAGCACATAAATAATAGAGAATTGAACTGAATAATCATCATCAGCATGAGTATCATTAAACCCTTTTCTGCACACCCACATGATCCATTCCATAAGTCTCTATTCAGAACACTGACAAGATAACGCATCATTAATGTAACAGAAAGCTTTAAAATTTTACACAATGAGTTACCTCAAGCGTGTGTATACTGGAAGACAGCATCTGTCCAGGTCCAGTTTCAACACTCCAGCTGACAGAACCACCATCTGAAGGGTCTAGTGCTGACAGCCGTCCATCTAGTGTACTCACAAATACCAGCCTGCATATATTTCGGACTTGATAAACAAGTACATTGCATGGGTACACTCTCAAAGTGTGAAAAGAAAATTCATCTACTAGATTTCTAAGATTCAAGACCCACACAATATAACCAAAGCCATCTATGTATAACACAGTCCATCAGCTTGTTTTTATGTTCATTAACCCGCTGCTCTGTTATGTCTGCAATCTGTAATCTACAAAATGCCACATGTAATTTTGTTTTTTATTGTTGTTATTAATGTTATGTTACGTTATGTTGGTTTACTTTGTGCTCACAAGCCCCTTGTTTGTGCGCTGTTCCCTCTAGTAGCATGTGTCTTCACTAGTGCAGATGTGGTGTGCACTAGTGAAGACAACACCACATGCTACCAGAGGGAACAGCGGACAAACAAGGGGCATGCGAGTATAAAGTAAACCAACATAACATAACATTAATAACAGAAAAAACAATATTAATATGTGACATTTTGTAGATTACAGATTGCAGACATAACAGGGCAGCGGGCTATTGAACATAAAAACATGCTGCTGCAACAAAACATGGAGAGAAACATATACAATTAGTTCTAAACAAGTGGACAACATCCCTCGTGAGGATGAATAGAATTTCACCAAGGTGATGAAAATTTTAATGGATTTCATTTTATTAGGTGCACCACAGTGGGTGATTTTACCGCACGTTAATGCAGTGTAGAAGTTTTGATATATTAAGACACCTAATGATGGCCATCTAAGGCTGAAACATGTTGTGTTAAAGTATAAATAGAAGAGAAAGGAACAATTTGTTGCATTAATGACGTACTGTTAGACAAAGACATTTTAATATGGCTTGCAACAGGATGTTTAAATAGAGAATTATAAACAAAGCCATCACATACATAATTTTTAGAGGTACCAAGGCCGAGTACTTTAGCCAATTAATCATTTACTTCTCTAGAACATCAATCAGTGAAGACAAAATATGCATTATTAATGTATGAACTGCTGAATACAAAATTCTGCCTCCTATTATGTTTATTCGTTTTCCATAAATCCATACAGAAAACAATTTCATACGATGTGAAAATAGTCACAAACAAAGCAGTACAACATACATATATACGTATATAGTCATACACAGCAGCAAGTATACAACAAAGTAAGCCTAAACTTGCACACTGAAACAATTCTTAAGTCATTCTAATATAAACATAATAGTACTCTAGTAATAAACCCATTAAATATCAGCAAAGCAATAACTACAAATACATTCCATCAAATATAGATATGTATATATGTGTAAAATCATAACAATATAATCAATAATACTAAATTTTTGCAGATATAATACAATCATCTTTTAAAGAATTCCTCTAATGTATAGAAAGAATTTGAATACAGAAAGTCCTTTAAAATAACTTTAAACTTTTTTGGATCATTAGAGATTTCTTTGAGATTATAAGGAAGTCCATTAAAAACCTTTACTGCCATATGATATACTCCTTTACCATATATGGCCAAGTTAACCTGGTGTAGGCTGCGCCATAGCTCAAGCAGTTAGTCGGTGACTTCCCACCATGGCGGCCCAGATTTAAGCCCAGGTCTGGTCAAGTGGGATTTGTGGTGGACAAAGGGGCACTGGGGCAGGTTTTCTCAGAGTACTCCAGTTTCCCCTGCCAATCTTCATTCCACCAACTGCTCCACAATCACCCTCACCTATCATCTGGGGCTGGTACAATAGGCCAGAAGAGGCCGCAGTACAAGGGACTTAGTCCCACCCCACTAGCAATAAAAAAAATAATAACCTAGTGTATATGTAAATTAATATTTTGTCTGGTTTTAAGTTCATAATAATCCTTATCTGTAACAAATGTATCTTTGTTTTTTATTATAAACATCATTAATTAATATATATACTGTGATTTTAAAGGCAGAATATTTATTTCCTTGAAGAGATCTCTATGTGATTCCCTGTAACCATGACCCACCATCAATCATATAATTCTTTTCTGCATCTTAAAAACCATGTCAGCAAGTGATGAGTTTCCCTAGTGAATCTAGCCATAAGTCATGATTGAATGGAAGTAAGAATAATAATTATAATTTTCAAGGTATTTATCGACATAAGTGCTTTTATGTTCCTTATCATGTAATTCTTCAGGAAGATGGAAGAGGTGACACAAACAGCATCATATTAGGAGACTGGAATAGCATTGTTGGAGATGAATCATATTAGAATATTGCTGGATCACATGGGTCAAATGCTTATTGACTTCTGTGAAAGAAATGGACTGATTGTTACAAACACTTGGTTCAAGAAGCCAAGGAGAAGACTTTACACATGGAAGGCACCTGGAGATTGGAGGCGGCATCAGCTGGACTACATCCTGGTGAAACATCGATTCAGAAAGAGTGTGAAGGATGTGAAGACGCTGCCTGGGGCAGATATTGACTCTCACCACAACTTACTGGTTGCCAAGTTTCGAACCAGGTTGAAGAAAATTACAAGATTCCAAAAGTGCAGACCTAGATGGGATTTGGAGAAGTTACATGCTCAAAGACAAAGCGTGCAGGAGACCCTAGAAGAGAAACTCAGTGCAATTGAAAGTGAAAGCAGAAATGCTGAAGTGCAGTGGAACAATATAAAAGAATGCATGTTAGATACTATTAGTGAATTGGTTGGTAAAGTTGAGAAGATAGCAAGAAAACCGTGGGTTACACAGGAGATGATGAGTAAAATGGAGGAGCGAAGGAAATGGAAGAATGTCAACAATGAAGAAGGCAGGAGGAAATACAGGAGACTGGGCAATGAATTGAAAAGAGCCATGGACAGGGCCAAAAAGGAACATCTTGAGAAAATATGTAATGAGATTATAGAATTTCAAAGGACAGGACATTACGATTTGATGTACATGAAGACAAAAGAACTACGATGGAAAGAGAACCATGGGATTCAAAATATTGGCATCAAATACTCCCAGGGGAATAGAATAGCAGATCAGAGGCAAGTGCTGAAAATTTGGGGAAAATTATATTACAGAACTATATGATTGACCTAATCGGCCAGAGACCTTGGAAGTGGAACCGGAAGAAGTAGATACAGACGAGAAAGGACCATATATTTTACAAAGTTAGGTGGAAAAGGCTATCATGGACATGAGGAATGGAAAGGCTACAGGAGATGATGTACCCGGAAATGTGCTCAAGTTACTGGGAGAAGGTGGTTTCAAACTAATGAACACCATATATGAAACTGGAGAGTGGCCCAAGGACTTTACAGAAGTGACAATGATCACCTTAAAGAAAAAGACAAAAGCTACAAAATGCAGCGACCATCGCACAATAAGCCTTATTGCACATACAGCAAAGATAATAGCAAAGATACTTAAAAGAAGAATTGAAAGGAAAATAGAGGATATACTTGGAGAAGATAACTTTGAATTTAGAAGAGGAAAAGGAACCTGGAATGCAATTGGGATGATGAGAATTATAGCGGAACGAACTTTGGAGATAGATGAAGAACTGTGTGTTTGCTTCATAGACTGGCAGAAGGCATTTGACCGGGTAAACTGGACCAAATTAATGCAGATCCTGAAAGAAACAGGTATCGATTGGCATGAAAGAAGATTGATTAGCAAATTGTACATGGATCAGAAAGTTAGAGTACGACTGGACAGGGGGGAGACAGGAAGTGTGCAGATTGGAAGAGGAGTTCGACAAGGATGCTGTTTATCACCAATTCTGTTCAACTTGTACAGCGAATTCATTACCAAGGAAGTTCTGGATGGGCTCGGAGACTTCAAATTAGGAGGGCAAATTATTCAAACTGTGAAATATGCAGATGACCTTGTGTTAATGGCTAAGGAAGAAACTGTGCTACAGGGCATGATTGATAGACTAATTGAAATTGGAAGGTGCTATGGCATGGAAATGAATGTGGAGAAAACAAAAGTAATGAAAATTTCGAGACAACCAACCCCAGTCACAATAAAGATAGACCAAAAACAAGTGGAGAATGTGAAATGTTTTAAATATTTGGGTAGCTTGTTAACAGATGATGGAAGGTGTACTTGTGAAATTAAATCCAGGATTGCCATGGCAAAAGCTGCATTTAGCAAGAAGAAGAATCTTTTTACCAGCAAATTGGACTTAAATTTGAGGAAGAAACTAGTGAAATGCTACATTTGGAGCATAGCTCTGTATGGGGCTGAAACATGGACACTTAGGGCAGTAGATCAGAAACATCTGGAAAGTTTTGAAATGTGTTGGAGAAGGATGGAGAAGATCAGTTGGACTGATTATGTGAGAAATGAAGAAGTGTTATTTAGAGTCAGTGAGCAGAGAAATATCCTACACGAAATAAGAAAATGGAAGGCTAATTGGATTGGTCACATCTTACGCGGTAACTGCCTTCTAAAAGAAGTTATTTAAGGAAAGCTAGAGGGGTGGATATAAGTGACCAGAAGACGAGGAAGAAGACGTACGAAGATGCCGGATGATCATGGGGACAGAAGAGGATATTTTCATTTGAAGGAGAAAGCTCTAGATCTCATCAAGTGGAGGAACTGTTTTGGAAGAGACTGTGGACCTGTCGTCTTGACAGATTACTGATGAATGAATTAACCGTTCAGCGTGGTTTGACGTGTATGTTTCGTCAGGTATTTAAATCGTCTGGGGGGGTTCGACGTGTATGTTTCGTCCAGCTGCACACCTATGTTATAACGCCCATAATAATTGATGGTTTTGCTGTAGATTGTTAGATTTTTCGCTGGCATGTTGTCAGTAGTACAGAGTATAATATGACACGTCTTTATCTGCGCTAAGTCATTGTTACATATGCCTGTCTTGCAGCAAAGTTCCTGTGG